GAATAACAGTCAGTAATTCAATCATTTGCCTTTTTCTCAGTGAAATGCATCCGAAGTGTGCCTGCCTATTTTGCTGAGACTCTGTATTACTCCATGAAGGTATGTACATGTTTTGCATCTCCTCCAGCTACAATTCCTCTCCCTTTTGCTTGTTCTTAGCTTCTTCTTTCACTGTAAGTGCCAACAGGATGCTGTTGGCAACTAAGTATCTGCAAAAGGTTCAGGGCATGCAGATCTGAGAGAGGATACAAACAATTCATAAGGTTTACTTTGAATTCTTCATAGGTGTGTCAGACTGTAAATCATTTATGGTCTCATCAGCTGTTTCTTGGTGCTGTTACATTGGAGAATGTCTGGAGGCATCACTGGGCACTTTCAGCTGAATAAAGACTACAATGTCTTCAGGTGGTGGATGTACTGAGGAAGTAAAGACGACCAAAACCCAAACTGTAAACTGTGCAAATGAGTGCTCTTTGTTTCGGAGGTAGTTACAGACTGAAGGCAGAGTTAGCTTTGAAACATGTTTTAATTACTACCCATCCCTTTTTGAGAAGGCAAAAAAACTCATCAGGGAAAAGGAAATGGGCTTAAACAGCTACAAGAGTTTATGCAGAGGAATCACATTAGCAACACATCTGTGTTTCTGTTGGCTTTGCCTTCTCTTGGGTGGGAAGAGATAAGCAGGGAAAACTGTATTTTTAACTCCCAGTGGATAATATTAATTAAAGCTAAGGTAGGTAGTCTGTTGTTTTCAGGCAAGTTCCCAGCTCCCCTGACGAATTCCTCCCTTCCCCTTGCTGGAAAGCCTTGAGGTATGTTTGTCACCAGATGGTTGTGTTGATGAGGTGTCAGCATGAGAATTAGTGATAAGACACAAAACGATGGCTTAATTTTTAAAAGTCGTTTTACTGCTTTTATAGATACCAATGTAAAATAGGGTTCAGGTGAAAAATACAAACTATTATACCAGTATGCTGAGCTGTATGAGGAGAATTGCTTTTTTCTTATTTATTAATTTTTATTTTTTAAAGAATGTGATTTTCCTGGAGGGTTTAGATTCTTGTACACTTTTATTATGAGGAGCCTGATGAACGTCTGCTGATGAGATCCCCAATTAATTTTTTTAAAATGAATAAAAATCATTAAGCACTTCAGATAAGAAAGCTCTTCATCAATTATTACTTTGGCAGAGGAGTTTGCACTTCTAATTTATCGGTTTGGCATGACAAAGTTCAGCACTGAGCAGAGTTTGCTTTCATGATTAGGTGGGGCAGAGCTCGGCTTTTACGGGATTCTAATGTCAAATCCTACTCAGAAACCACTGGACTCATGGCATAACTTCTGAGCAGCCTTAGGGCATTTTTAGGTGTAATCCAAGAATATTGCACCCAGTCCAAGGATTGAGTGACCCTGAAGATGATCGTGGGGGCTCTGCCAGGTCCTTCCCTGAGGTGCATGAGCAGGTCAGCACATGGACATTTGTATCGCTTCAGCTTGTGTGGAGTCTGCCTTGTCTGAGCACAGGGGGCAGGATTTAGTCTGCCCAGACTGCCAGCACAGGAACTTGAAATGCTTGAAGTAATCAAGATGAATAAAAGAGTGGAGCATGTTTGTGTGGTTGGAAAAGGTTTATAAAGTTTGCCTTCATAATAAACAGCTGAATGGTCCATGGAACAAGTTGCTCTGCTGTGTCTTGCTGTATGATGCTACATGTTTTGTATTAGTCACTGTTAGGATTTCTGTGCCCCATTGCAGAACTGGCTGCGGTTCTGCAGTCTCAGAGTACATTGGAAGGCTGATTTATATGTGATGCTGATTGTGGTGATCAGTTCTCCTGCTGTGTAACCTTGGGACTGGGTTATTTGGCATGTATCTGGGCATTCACAGTTGAAGCCTGTGAGATGAAACATGAAATGAGAGGTCTGGCCACATGGCACTTGACAGAATTGCAGGGATTAGAGCACCCTGCAGGGTCAGTCCTCTGTTCTCCACGTTGCAGTGTGAATGTCTTGTGATACTGTCCCAGTATTCTCTGTTTTGGAGCTGGAATGTAATACGGACTTGATTTGAGATGCCACTTGTTGCTTTCTTGTTGTACCCTGGTTGTTTGTAATTGTTGTTTTGTTGCAGCCTCTGTCCAGAGCAAACTCATATTTGAATCTTCTTGAATCTCTTCTCTGCAGGGGGCTGGCACTGATGATGACACCCTGATCAGAGTCATGGTTTCCAGGAGTGAAATCGATCTGTTGGATATTAGGCGGGAATTCAGGAAGAACTTTGCAAAATCCTTGTATCAGATGATTCAGGTAAAATGATTGTTCTGTTGTCAGGGAACACAGGAGTGATTGAGGTGGCATTGTTGTCACAGTGTATTTTCTTGGGAGGAGGTGGATGTGAGTAGAGCTGGATGAAACGTTGAACTCAGAGTGATGTGATGGGTCTACACTTTTGGCAAGCACCAAATTGCATTGTTTAAGCAGGGGACACTTCCTATGGGAAGCTAAAGGTTTCCTTCCAGTGTTCACTAGGACAGATGCTGTGGGTTTCTGAAATGACAATTATTCATACACCCTTTTTAGCTACTGCTTCACTTCCTTTTTCTTGCGTGGGTGCCTTGTAGTCAGTGCTTCAGAGAGGGTGCTGGCTCCAGAAAAATGGCGTCGGGGCTGGGAGTCTGAATTATTGTGAGGTTGAAGTTAAAATCTTGGGTTGTGGTGTGGAACCTTTGACACCATTTCCAAGTGGAAAGCATTTCACTGTGGAACCAGTCTGAATCATAATCTCCTTTGAATGATAGAAAGGAGCAGGAAAGGAAAGAGCCAGTGAGGAATCCAGAGCCAGCTGTTGCTGCGCAGTTGAAGCCAAAATGCTTTTTCCCCCTAGGATTTTCTTCTTGTTTTATTTTTAAATGCTACTTTTTACAATTTTCTGTTATCATTCCTGACATTATGCTCCCTTGATTAGGCTGGGTGGAGTTGCTTTTGGCACTGCCAGTCCTGCCCACACAGCTGTCCTGTGGATTTTGTATCAGAGCTTCCCCCTGATTGCCAGGAGCAGGGCTGGGGCCTTTCTAAGCCGTGGAAGGTGCACTTTGCTCATCAAATGTGTTGCTTTTAGTGCTGCCTTGAGGCTTCTGCTTTGGACTTCCTCCCTGCAGATAAATGCATTTGAATAAACCCCGGGCAGCTCAGTCACAGTAAAGCTTTTGGAGGTTTTTATGTTTCTGAAAGTCTGTCCGTGTAGATGTACGAGAGGCAGAGGATTTCCTCGTGTCATTCCTGAGTGGAGAGTCATCCCTGTGGATTTCCTGTGGGTGTGCTGTGCTGGGGCCCTCCTTGGCTGGTGTGTGTGTTGGTGACTCACAGTGACTGCTCTGTGTGTTCACAGAAAGACACGTCTGGGGACTACAGGAAAGCCCTGCTGCTGCTCTGTGGTGGCGATGATGAGTAACGGGGACACCCAGGATCTCTTGTACTCCAGCTTTGCACCCCATAGTTGGCATGTCTACCTAAGTTTTTATACCTTAATGCTTTGTGGCTGCTTGAATTTATACTGGCATTGCACTTATTAGGAATGAGCATATTGTTAGCCAAGTGATCCCTTCTTCCCCACATCCCAACTTACAGGAGTTTCAAGTGCCTTTGGTGAAATGAGAGTCATCTTCATGGAAGATGGATGCTGAGGACCAAGTTCTTTGCAAGTGTTTTTGCTGTAATAGGAAAAAGTAATCATGTATTGCACTAATCGTTTGAAGATTATCCTTTTTTGCATACATTTCCACCAAATGTTAAGCTGGTTCTAACATGACAAACAAAGCAAAGATATCCTTTGTATGTAATGTCTGAATGAGTTTGCTGAACATAATACAAGCAATCATTGGAAATCTAAAGGACCAATAAATTTTTCCCCTCTTATCACAGTTGTATGTGGTTTTGAATCTATTTTCCCTTTCATATGATATCACTGCTCCAAATTGTTGGTAAATATTTCCTACTGTTTTTCAGGCTTCTAAGGACATATATGATGTTTTGCAGCTCTTCATCTTCCTGTCTAGCCTAGTATATGGTGGTGCTGCTGTTCAGCGTAGCTGGACAACCAAATTACTGGTGCTTGCTGGGCATTGCATTCTCATTTTGTGCTGCTTTGTCTCTCTCTTCTCCAAAGCTGGGGGAAGGAAGGGAAGCTGCTGCACAGTGCCAGAGTAGAGCAGATGCTGCGTTGTAGGACCAGCCAAAGATTTCTGGGATGGAAGCAAGTGAAGAAGAAATGGGGAGATAGTGATGAGTCCTTCAGGGATCTTAGATGACAAGAGGATGGCTGCAGCACCACTCTCATCAGGTTAGCAGGGAGCAAAGCACAGGCTCAGAGAAGCACCAGCCTGTCACATGGGCTGCCTTAAATTCTCTGCTTTAGTTCATCACCTGTGACTGGCGCTGAAAATTAAATTGACACGTGTGAAGGAGAAGAAAGAGGCTTCTGTCTCATGCTTTATAAGGGCTGAACACCCTGGTTCTAAACTGAGCTTATCAGTTAGTCCCATACATCAGCTGTGGAAACTGCACTTTCTAATAGTCCTTTTCAAATTGATTCTTCACAGGTTATTAAGGCCTTTAAAACTTTCCTGTTGAATAAACGTAAATTTTTAATTTTTGCATTGTAATTCTGAATTAGTACTGTCATGATCTCCTGCTACTGAAGTACTTGGTTTTCAATGTATAATATGAAAGCTCTTTTTAGAAGTAAATATGTCAACTAAGGCCTTATCCACTCTCAAACTTTCTTTGTTTTCCATTCTGTCACAGACATGCACTCCCACTTTCCTGCTCATGCACTCTCACTTTCATTCTTTCTCCACCCTGCTTCTTTTTGTCCTAATTTAAGACTTATGGATTTGGGGTTTTGTAGATTACTTTTTTTTAGTAATTTTTTAAGGTGATTTAATATTTACCAAGGCAAAATCATGCACAGAAATTTTTGCTAAGGCACTGCTTTCTACTGCTTCAGAGATTAGACACTGTATTTAATTTTTCAGCTTCTTTCAGGTCCTTTGAAATTCTTAGGAAAGTAGCATCTGATCTTCGTGATTTGTTATCAGTCCTCTTATAGATTTTGGTGAAGCTCTTCCAGCAAGGGTTGAACATTGTCACAAACCTGATGCTTGCAGCTTGAATGGAATGATCTAAATTACTGCCAGAATTTGTAAGTAGTAACTCTGAACAGAAGTTGTTGGGGGCAGTATAATATCAGACATCTACAGAAAGTTTTAGGATGCAAATGGGCAGAAGTGTTTGAAATTCCCTTTTGAAGTAATTAAACTTTCTTTAAGAAGTCTAATTAAAATAGAAGGAATGTTATTGAATTATAATATTTTTAGTATCTAGTATGTCACACCCTTTTATGAATACAGAATTTGGTATTTCCAGTACAGTACATTCCTAAGAGAGCTTTAAGCTACAGCTGCCAATGAATTAATTACTTCCTTTGGCAATAGTTAATCATTGGTGTGTTTGGGGTTTTTTTCCCTCTCCATCTTCTGATTTTGATTCATGAAAATCTGTGTTCTGTTGGTTTCTGGCACAACTTTGTGTTGAGAAATCCTATCAAACTCTTTGCTAAGTCAGGAGCCAATTGGAGCATGAGCACTGAAATCAGCCCTTGCTATCCATGAAGAATCTGTTTTAAAGCAAACTTCAGTAAATCAAATATTGTTTTGCCTGAAGAGCCTGCTGCCCTTCCTTTGTCCTTCTTCCTCCCACAGGAGAAAGTGTTTTAGGACCTACTATTTACCATGAGAAATATTAAACTCTTTATTTGCTTTCATCACACCTTTATCTTTGCACTATTGCAGACATAGTGTATTGGGGGGAAAAAGTGATCTTTGTTAACTTCTTTACTTGATTTTTCCCTCAGTTTTCTACTGATGCATATGAAATGATGATTTTGCTTTATTTATATTCCTGAGAAGTGCTATTTTCTTATTGTTTCTTTGCTTTATTTATATTCCTGAGAAGTGCTATTTTCTTATTGTTTCTTTGCTTTATTTATATTCCTGAGAAGTGCTATTTTCTTATTGTTTCTTTATCGCACTTCCACACTGACAGCTGGAATTGCTGTGGGCATTTATTTACTCAAACCTGTCTTGAAAGCAATAATTTATTAACAAGGCAATATTATGCATGAGGAGCTCTAAGCAGTAACTCCTTTTTGATTTAGTGTTCAATACATCTAAAAGTCAAACATCAGCCAACTTATCCACATATATCCATAACTATACATTTGTAATAGGCAGGCTTTTATCTACCTCCATTTGGCATTCAAGGAAAGGTGAGGTGGCTGGTGCAGAACATGGAGCTGCCCTGGATGGCTTTCATCAGAAATAGTAACTTTCTCCTCTGTAATTAACCCTTTCTGTGTCTTGCAAGTTTGAAATGAAAAGAAAATTCCTCAGAAAGACTATGGTATCAAAAATGATGTTGCTGAAAAAGAATCCGGAGCCTGGAGTAGGTATGTGACTCAAAAGCACTTTGTAGGTAAGTCACCTGTCAGGTATCTGCAGGTCATTGCTCCTGATGTTGCATTTCTGACTTTATCTCTTTGTCTCAGTAAAGCTTTCAGTCACATGGTTGTTTTGTCCCTGTCCAACGAAGCATCTACAGAAACGTTGCAACCTCACAGAGTGGCTGCAAATAAAGCAAATAAACCACAAGGGTTTTTTCTAGTCGTGCCTTCAAGAAGCTTTGCTGTAATCAGCAAAAAGAGCTGAGTGGAGAGGTTTGCTTCCAGTCTTTTGGTGTCTGTAGTTACAGCTCGAGTTCCTCTGGGTGTGGATAGGGTGAGAGTGAGTGGAATTCCCATTTCCCAAATGGGACTGGAGTCACGTTCTCCAGACAGTGCCTGTGCCATTCGCTGTGCAGGCAGGGGATGGTGCTGTTGTTCCAAATAACCTTGTCATGGTGCTGCTCAAGATTTCACTTCTCTCTTGAATCACTTGCTTAACATTTTGGGGTTTTTTTGTACCTCTTTCAGATGGCTTTCCTCAACCTAAAGCATGAGTCAGATCAGACAATTGAATTTTTTGTTATTATATTTTCAGGATCCTTTAATATAATTTTTTGTGCACTATGAAATGAGAGAGACTAGTGAACTTTATTGGAAACAGAAGCTGGGTTTACACACATGACATTTTTATTAATGTTAAGCATTTCCCTTCTGCAGTCTGAGCACAGCCAACCTCCAGTATTCCACCCCAGTCTCAGTTAGGAAAAATTAGAAAATCTGTTTTTGTTAAACTCATGCATTTACAACTTGTGAGTTTAGTGGAACAGATTTTGCTGTGCCAGTATTATTTCATATACAGAGATTTCTCACCTGCAGTCCCTGAATTATTACCATGTTTTAGTGAGCCTGGGAGGTTATTTCATATCATTCAAGCAACAGCATGACTGCCCTGCACTGTGTAAAGAAATGGAAAGGCTGTGGAGGATCTGATATTTTAGGAAGTAACTGTGTAATTAGCAGGAAAAACTCATCACTCAAATGGAGCAGAAAGGACAGGAAAGATGATATTTTTAATTTTTTTTTTTTATTTCAACCAGTTGTGTATGATGGGATAACAAACTGAGAGCAGGAAAGAGGAAGGATGGTGTAAGACACTAATCTAGTCTGCTACTACAAGAGGAAAGGGCCAGAGTAATCTTCCATTGGTGTCCGTGGGAAGTGGGCTCATCAATCCTCTCGGATCTAGAGTATACGCACATAGAATTCCATCCACAGAGTAGTCTCATGGTTTTAACTTTTGGCTACTTCTAGCCTTAATTTCAGTAGGTAGCACAATGGTGAAACAAGAGGTCCTGGTCTTGGTCTTTCTTTTACACACACCTATGAAGGAAAAAAGTCCCACCTACACTGGTTGGCTTTTTATTTCTGCACACTTTGCAGTAAATGTGCTTCCCTCGTACCCTTCCTATTCTCAAAGCCTCCTTCAATAACAGGCTACAAGCTGCACATAATGAGGCCTAAAAGGCACAACAGTGCCTCTGAAATCCAGTGAAAATGTCATTGAAGCCTTACTCTGTGTATTCAGCACATGTTGTGTTCTTTCGTGCTGACTGCTTTGTCTTTGTATGCAGAAATATTAAATCAGGGAATTTACTCTGGATGCCTCTAAAACTTCATTAGTTATTTTGCCTGTTTATCTGTGCTCATCCTTCTGGCACTTTATGTTTACTTTCAGAAAACAATTCTCTGATGATAAGGATGAATGGAGGAAATTAAGAGTTTATAGATCATGATTGTGCTGGCACCAAGTGACTATGAATGCTAAAATAAAGGGAAAAGAAGTACATTCATTTTTGGTGTGTTTCAGCAATGGCAGCTTAGTGTTTAAAACCGACTTTCCACTGTTGCCATCCACTGCTGCTAACAAAGAAGTGAGCCAGTGTTCAGTCACAGCTTACACTTCTATTGTATTCACCATCTTAGCAGCAGTGCTTGCATTATATATTACATGCAGACCCCCATGTGGGCTTCACTTGAAACAGGTCTCTCCCAGGTTGTTCCTTACTGGACACAGCCAAAATTTTCCTTTAATGATGATACAGACATGGTATCAGATGATACAGACTTGGAAGGAAGAATGAGGCTGGTTTTTTTGCTCCTGTGGGATTTTTTTACCTACACTCCCTCTCCTTTTCCTTCATGCTTTATGTTAACAGGATCTATAAAATGTTTTGAAATATTATCTCCAGGTAATGTAACTTGCTGCTCCATGAAGAGCATCACAGTGATTCTCCCACACAGCTGGTATAAAACATCTGTTAACCTTAAGGGTATAATACAGCAACCACCCTGTAGTGCCATTTACAGTGGGTAAAAACACACTGCCATCCATCAAAGACATCCTCTGGCTACAGGAAACAAAACCCAGGCAAAATGATTGCCTGATTATTTAACCTGTTTACTTTGTGGTTTGCCTTGGCTCAGGACCCACTGTGTCACCTCCACTCGAGGCTGATGGATCGTGATGTGTATTTATCTGAAGCCTCCTGCTGTTTGTCTCAGTCTGTCTTACTGGGCTCTTGTGTTGCAGGGTGGGATCCAAGCAGCCCTCACAGCACTCATGGCTCAGGTTAATGCCACATTTACACGAAAGGTCCCTCCTCACAGTTTGCTTCAGTGCTTGTGCAGGCAGACCCCTGATGTTACTGTGACCTGTGAGCTGCTCAGGGACTGGGAGTTGACTGGTGGGAAGAAGGGAGAAGACTTGCAATTGATGCATGACCAGGAGAAGAGGAGAGTCATTTACTGCTCTCAGACTAGAAGGGCCCCCCAGCAACACTGCCAGGTAGGAAGCTTGGAAACAAAATGAAAGGAAAAGTGCGTCACGACGTGATTAAATTATAGACCCTGCTGTTACATGGCACTATGGAGACCGTGACTACAAGTGACACTGGTAAGATAAAAAGACCAGTTCATGCAAACAGGTTCTTCGGTGGGTTTTACAGCAGATACAGTGTGTAGCTCACACTGTTCCCAGCTGCTTTTTCTGGGATGTAGCAGGGAGCGCTGTCGCTGCTGACAACCAGTTCTTGGATTAAATTGCCCACCCTCTGAGACAGGTACCAGGTTTTATTTTTCCCCTCATAATGCTTGGCTTGCAATTAATTTATCTTCCCCTTGACTGCCTGCTAAGAAATGTGTTAAAAATGTTAAAATATTCCTATAAGACTTTCTCCACACAAGAAAGTGCTGCATTATAAGGTTGTTAATTTATAGCCTCTGGGGAGTGACCTTGATGAATTCCGAGCTGAGCTGAAGTGATTCAGAGGAGACAACAGTCTGGAAGGAGTGTTGGAGATGTGGCTGTTCCTGCCTTGGGGAGGGGAGAAGAGAGGACAGTGTTTCTCAACCTATTTTAGTTGAAGACTCACCTAAACCTATTTGAAAAACAAATCAACAAAAATGAAGGAAAGCTTGGAACATGCACCTGTTTTTCCCTGATCCTCTCCCATTTCATTCATTCACATGAGGTTTGTGTGTGTGTGTGTAGGTGAACAAGACCTTTCTAGTAAGTGCTTGCAATGGTTTGTTAGACTGTGTTCTTAAGGAGTTTTGTTTTCAGCAGATTCCTGCCAGTTCCTAGTCTTGGAAATGATGGATGGGGAGAGGCTTCCCGGGCTTGCACTTGCCTGGAGCAATGCCAAGCCGACGGACAGCGAAGATCTGACATAAGAGAAGCAGGTCTGTCCCTTTGTTCCTGTTGATACATTTCAGGGTGCCCACAGCTCTCAGTGCCCAACACTGAACCTGCCCAGCATCTCATGGGCTGGCCTGTACCAACCACATTGGGGTGAGAAATGAGCAGGCTAAATTCTATTTGCAGCTACCAATGGGAACAGCTGCATTTAGTTCTGTCCATACATGCGAAAAGCTGCAACTCCTCCTCTCCAGCTGCGTTCCCTTCTTTCTCCACAGGTTGCTTGCTCGGGACAAATTTCCTTTTTGTGAAGGCCTGACAATTGAACAGTTTGCGTTTTGAACTCCCTTCTTCAAGTTTGTCAACTCAGCTTCCCCAGCAACAGTGAGGGAAAGGTCAGATAGTCCCCAGCACAGAGCTTTCCAAGCCTCATTGGAGGAGTTGTTCTTTTTAAAACGGGGACATTAAACTGCCACACATGAGACTTGTGTAAGAGGAGTAACACTGGCTGGGGGAACTTTCACAAAACCTGTACTTACGCTGTCTGGCTTGTAGTCCTGGTGGATTTAAGCACACAAGAACTACACTGGAAGACTTGGATGTGGTTTAGGCTTTAAGGCACCTTGTTAGAGAGTCCCATATTAGAAATAGTAGTTAGGATTAAACATATGGCATGGACCAGTTTGAGCTTTGGTCAGAGCACTCTGCCAGAGAGGCTCTGGGGACTCTGAGTGCGACTGCAATCGATTGACGACCTCTACAGAGAGAGACTGTAATTGTTACATTTATTCCATTTGAAAATGTCTGGATGTTCTTTTCCATGGGAGCTGTAGGCTCTGCATTCCCTGAGTGCAAGTGTAACCGGCTTTCACAGCAGTTACAGGTGGGGAGGCAAGAAAGAAGTGACTTGCCAATTTGCTTTTCAGAAATTTTGCTCTTTGCTCCTCTGGTAATAGGAAAGTCTAAACCTTTTCTGCAGATTCAGAAGTGGCCTTTGTCCATGAAAGGACCTTTGAACATACTTAACTACACTCTTTTTTCCCCTAAAATTTCCTGGGAGATGAGGTTTTACATATAAAAAGAACATCCCTTCCAATACTGTCAGTGCTTGACCAGCTATTTGTAAGAAGTTGAATGAACAGAGCAATATGTAGTAAAGGATTATCTCTCTCTAAATTCTAGGAGTATGATTTGATTTGGACCTTAGAGCAATCAGGGTATTCAGGGTATTGTGGTGCCCTGAAGTGTTCCTGGGGAACACTGGCTTGGTGACATTTCTTTCCTTCCCTGATGTCTCCACTCCAAGGAGCAGTGTGACCATTCCTTGCTGGTTTGCATGGGGAACTGGGACAGATGAAGGGAGGTGGGTTTTACTCCATAAACACGCTGTTGGTCCTGGGGAAAGCATTGTGGCAAAGAGCTTACAGGGAGAGAGATGTGATTAGCATTAAAGGGTGTCAAGTCAGCCACTAAAAGCTGCAGTGTGGGCAAATTCCTTGGGAACAAATCAAGACTTTGTGGCACTTTCAGAGCAGTTTTTGATTGCCTTTCAGTCTCATTCGATGCTCATATAATGAAAACCTTGCAGAACTCCATGGCTGGCCTAAAAACATTGCTTTCAGTCTCAGACTCTGTAAGCTTATTTTTTTTCCTCATCCTTTTTTTTCCCTAGCATGAGTCACAGTAACAGAGGGTATGTTATTGAAGTTCACAGATGGCAACAGGGAGAAACAACATCCATTCCCAACTGTCAATCCTTCAGAAAAGTACTGGTTTGCTGGTGTGCTTAATATCTGAGTTAGAGCATGCGCAGGAAGGCACTGCTCCTGTCAGAGCTCTGTCAGCTCTCCCACCAAAACCCAGATGGAATATGCAGCCAAGATTTTGAGCTGGTTCATTATCCATCTGCATAACCCATGAGCCAGCCTTTCACAAATGAAAATTGAATTTTGACATTTTTGAGAGTGTGAAAGTGGAAGCAAAAGCTGAAGTATCTTGCCCAGGTTCAACACAGGAAGTGAGTGACAGTTTCCCCTTTTCTGGCATCAGTGTTGTTAAAACAACAGAATGCTCAGAGAGCTCCAGGAATGTTAATTGCTGACTCCTGGCATGCCAGCATTGCCTGTGACTTGCTGAAGGTCATGTGCCACGTGGGAATTCTGATTGGATATATGGAAGATGGAAAGTTTTGTTGTCTTATCCATCATTTTAATGGCAACACTTATACATAGTTGAGAAAAAAAACAAACCTACTGAGCTGGAAAATACAATGAACTGATAATTTTTCTCCATGAAGCCGAATTGAGCTGTTGACTCACTTTTGTCATCAGTTCATCTGGCTTTATTATTATATGTAATTTAGCTCCTTCCATGTAATGTACTTGATAAAGCTAAATGGATACTCTGCTTTATGGATCTCAGCTGAGTACAACTGGAGAGAGATCTTTGCTGAATGTTGAATAGACTCAAATCCCCCAACAGCAGATTCTGTACATGCTCACATTGTCAGAGGGGGGTATTGAAAACAGGGCACTGGCATAGTGACAGTTTCCTTAGGGAATTGCTGATTGGTAGAAGTCCCTCTGTGCTTAATGTGGAGAAATAGCAGAGAGGCAGAGAAGAGCCTTCCTTGTCTCTTCTGGGGACCTGCACCACCACAGGGTCACTGCCTGCACGGAGGGTAAAGGTTCTCTTGGATTTGGGATTGACAGTGAGCTCTGAAGCTGTAAGACAGGTGTGGTCCAACAAGAAATCTTGCACCTTAACTTTTTCAGGCTTCAGAAATTGCCAGAAGATCTCCCAGGAGATTTCAATCGTGCACTGATAGCTGGAAATCAGAGCTGGACAGAGCACCAGATGCCTTATATGAATACTGTGTGTTACACAGGGACCTGTTCAGGTGTGGACTCTGAGAGATCCCATCTAACAAGATTATGCACCCTTTTAATGGCATGGAGATTGCTGGGACCTTGGGATCGTGTGGGATAAATGTGTGGCTTCTAAGAGGCTTGAACAGGCCACTTCAGTAAAGCCTTTTTGCAAACTATCTTAGAATTACTCTGTCATTAGATAGTGTGGCCATTTGGGTATGAATTTTGTTCCAGAATTAAAAATACCTGCTGCTTTCCTTCTACCTCCTCCACTCAGGCCCACCAAGGGGCTGCCTCTTGGCTCCTCCTTCAGGGCTGCACTGAGTCTCCCAGCCTTGTCCTTCCCACTCTGGAGCCATCTCTGCTCTGTAGGATATGTGGGACCTTCCTCTCTGCCCAGAATTGCACCCTCTATTTTACTTTGCCTACTGTGAGTTCAGGGACAGTACTTCCTGCTTTGGGTAGTTTTTGGTATCAGAGCACTGAACAGCCAGGCAAATGATCTCAAACGCCATGACGAGTTTTAAAATTTGTGTGAGTCTGTGGCTGTCTGCACCAGTGGCTTCCTCACAGTAACTGAGGGCAGGAATTTAGCCTGTAGCAGGTGCAGTTCCTCATGATTTAGCCTGAGAGACCCTCATCATGGTGAATTTACATTTAAATAATCCCATGAAATGCAAGGGTGGCTGTTCTTGAAAAGGTAAATGCAGATAATCAGTAAGGCCTTTCTTGGCTGATGGTTGAATTATTTTGAGAGCAGAGGTAAAAAGCTTTCTGGTGAACAGGTAGAAAAAACTTAATGCATTTACATGATATGGTGGAGCAATAAATTAAAATTGTCTTTTGTTTGTTTGTTTTGATGTTTGTAATATGTTTTCCACCCTAGTAATCTCTACAAGTCCCAGTGAAATACATGAGGCTGTCTGGTGGTACCACAAGAGACTTATATTCTTGAGCTCACAACCCTCTGGAACTTTGAAAAAAAAAAAAATGATTTAATGAGTGACAGATATTTAGCCTGGCTCAATAAATAAGTCTAGAGAAAATTGAGAGGGAGGCTTCAGTGGGGGACTAAGGAAATGTGATGGTGTTTTGAATGAGAAGTGTTAGAAAAATGTTAGGAGGTATTGGTTTTTCTAGATGGTTTCATAAAACCAGCTGAAACACTCAGAAAGTGAAATGCTAACATGCTGGCATAATAAGCGAGATTAAATTAGATTTTGTGATTAAACTTGGATGAATTAATGCAGTATATATTAAGAAAGCCCCTGGAAATACAGAACTGAAATTTTCTTTCACAATGTTAAAAAAAGACAGAACATGGTACCCTTGGGCTATTTAATTTCTTCTTTCTATTGATGTTTGAGAAAAGACCTTTTTTTTATTTGCCATTTTTTTGGTCTGTCTTAATTTACATTCCTTAAAGAAAGTGGTGGGGTTTTTTTGTGGGGCTGGATGTTGGAGGGTGATGTTTTTTTCTTCCCTCAATTTAGATGAGACAAATAGAAGTCACATGGAAATAAAACCAGAACTCTGTTGCTGGCTCAAATTAGTCTGAAGCAGAATGTAACTGGTAAATTAGGCACTCAGTAGACCAGAGCAAATTAGTTTGTTAGTTTGCATATATCTGAACGGACACTTCTTAGATGTTTTTGACCTGACTGTATGGTAAACTAATGCCAAGTTAATTAGTTGTTAACACTTACTGAAGGCTGAGCTCACAGTCTCTGTAAAAGAAGACTTCAAGCAATCATTTTGCACAGTAAGAACTTGCTTGTGGTAATGGCATAAATGCAAAATGACTTTATGACCTTTAGCAGAGATATTCAATACCAGCTGGTTCACAAGATTATAATTTGAGAGTCCAAAAGGCAGAAAATGGAATAATTAAGCAGAAAAGCCATGAAGAAATGCATCTAAAATTGCCCACATCTCACCACTGAAGTACCACGCACACCTTGGAACCCCCCTTTCAAGTGGGTTCTCCAGTCACAGTTTTGTTGAAAACCAGATACATCCCTGTTTGAAAGAAGATTTCTCATTTATATGACCTTGAAGTACTTAAAAATTTTGTGCAGCCGAAGGCAAACCTTTGCTCAGTTTCTTGTTTGTGCAGATATATTTGTTCTGTAAGGTGTGAACCCCAGAGCATCTCTCTTCTCAACAGCGGTGAAACAGGTCTGGCTGTTTGATTTATGTGGGACTCTCTTGTTTCCTGTGGAAAATGCTTCCTGCAGCTACATGTGGGCTAAAGACTCCTGGAACTTTTGCATTTTGCCAGTATATTCTGTAAAAAAATTGGCTGTTGGACACAACATCAGAAACGCTTCAGGTTCTGGAGCTTTAAAAGCAGAGGCACAGTAAATGCCTCTTGTCTGTGCTCCTTGCATCTCTAATGTGCTCCTGAGCTGCTTTTCAGTCGCTGTTTCAGTGACCTGCACTGTGGCCCCCTATTGAATGAATGAGTCTCTCATGAAGGAGCAGGAACCCTGAAGATTTCCTTTTAGACATCTTGTTTGAAGTACTGTTTCTGTCTCCGGTCTGGAGCACACAGAAAATCAGCAATAGCCCACCAGGTGTGACCCTCCTGATGATGAGGAAGGACCTGTCCTGCTGACAGATCATGGGTGCATTGCAGAGTTATTTGTTTTTCTTATTCCATTGGGCAGGGCTCTTTCTAAAGTGGTTCTTTTCTGTTTTATAAAATATTAGGCTTTTACCGAGACATAGAGAGTCGTAAGGGAAGTTGACATGTGAGGATTCAAATCAGCATATATACATGAACTAAATCCACCTTCTTCTGCCTCATGTTTTCCCTTGGACTCCTTTGACACACTCAGGTAAACTCTTATCCTCTTTGTCTCACATTTCCCCTCAGTGCTGCAGCCGACCTGCTCTGCCAGACCCTTTATGGCTCCTTTTCATTGGGGATGGAGCCCTCAGGCAGGGAGAGAGAAATGTAAAATGTTTGATGGCAGAGCCATCTACAAACTGTGTGCCCTGGTTGCTTCCAGCTGTGGGACTGCTCTGTGTGTGTCAATGTTTGTACTCATTTTGAAACATTTAGAAATACTATTGTATTGGAGGTCATAGTCCAACTCAATACTAGCTTTAAAGTTAGGTCCAGTTGTTTAGGGACTTGTCCAGCTGAGTTTTGAGTGTCTGCAGGAATATCCTACAGCTTTGCTGAACAGTCCGTCCCAGTGCTGAGCTGCTGCTGCTGTAAATATTTCCTTTTCTTATTGCTAGTCAAAGATTTCCTCTCTGCAGCTTGTGCCAATTACTATTAATCTCTTTTACTCCCAAACCCATGATTACATTCCAAGCAGAAACAGATGAAGGGCAGGAGAGCCAGCTCTAACTTTGGATTCTTTATTATGCAATGACAAATAAGAATGTAAAAACACTTCATTGGCTGGGAGCAAATACTCGGAAAAAAAATGGCTTGTTTCTAGTGAAAAGTGAAACAATCTGAGTGTTTTGCTTAAAAATGCATAAGCAGATAGATTTGATTAAGGAAGAGTAGGAAATGAGCAGGAAATGAGGCTGTAAAACTGGGATGAGGTCTGTGAGGTACCATCCTGCACTCACATTTGCACACTGTCTCCACTGCTCTCATCTCTGGCCCTTTGTGTTGGGTTATGATGCACAGTCTTTATATAATTTACATCTAAAGTCACTTTAAATGGTAGCTTTGAGTTGTCTTCAAGGCAGTTTTGACTCCAAGCTTTCTGAAAGAGAATGGAAACAGGGAGAGCTTAAAACTGAAGAAAAGGGAATCCATCCCATTTCTCCAGTGTTCTCCCTGCTGCTGTGAGGATTTTATATATGGGTTTGTAACTGCTTAGAGGAAAACAAAGCACTCCATACTCTTTACTGTTATAAACTACCCCTGGGTTTCTCAGCTGTCTTAGTGTCAGGGATGCCACATAAAGGAATGAGTAACATTGTGGTAATGGCAGAGTAGGAGAAAGTGGTGAGAGGTATGGTGGTAACAATTTAATGTGCATTCTGGAAAACCTCTCACTGTAAGAACAGAAAAAGCTGGGTTTTTACCATCATCAGTGTCTGACATCTTCAAAAAGGCCTGGCTGGCTCTTTATTTTAATCTGTGTGAACAAAGATGTCAAACACATGAATGTCAATAAGTTGTTTCTATTGCCTCATGTCACGACGAGTTCTAAGCCGAGCTTCAGTGAGCCTTCCTAATGAATAGGCAGACATGACTTCCTGCTTGGTGTGTGTCCAAAGCAGGTTACAAATAATGGGGAGCATTTTATTTTATTTTTTTCCATTCAGATTTCATTAAACAACTTTTCACAGATTTGTGCTGATTCCTATAATGAAACTGAACCCAGAGGATGCAAATTCTTAGGGATCATAATGCAGGCTGCCAATGTGCAGGGTGTAAGGGCAGTAACCACCATACGGCTCTAACAGATAGACACTGTGCCCTAACAACAATTTTTGGAATTCCGGGTTATTTCTTGAACTGTCCTTTCAAACCTGTATCACTCAAATTCCAAGGACACCTGCAGAAGACCTACCCACTGGTTTTCTTTTCTGTAGCTGTCCCCCAGCAACGTCATGCCATGCCACGCCCAGTTCTCTTTTTCCTTGGTGTGCTGCTGGCAACTCCTGCCTGGATTGTAATGAATAATCCAAAATTAAATTCCAGGCAAATATATCTTTGTGTAAAGGCAGCTATTTTGGTGGTTCATTTCAGGAAGACACTGTAGGGAATTAATTTTGGAATTTGATAGCTGGCACAGGACAGGCTGAGAATAGAAGAGGTCGGGGGAATCTGCAGGATTTAATGTTGTGAAAGGACGTCACACAAACTCCCAACATTTCCCAGAGCAAGGAGCAGCCTGAGCAGTTATCTGTGTGCTCACACCTGCTGGGAGAAGTGCGGGTTTTCCCTGGTGCTCCTCTCCCTTGCCACAGGCTTTGGGTAGAAGCTCTTTCAGTTTTGCACAAAGACAACATTGGCTTAAGTCCTGCACACCGTGTGCATTTCTTTGGTTCTTAATCAGCAAACCCCAGTATACATGGGGGTTTTTGTTTTCCCTAGCATTTGTATTCTGGGGCATGATTTTAAAGAAAGATGATGTGGAACAGAGTTATTTAAGCAGAGCGATTTTCTGGAGCGCACGTTGTGTTGGCCTTGCTGGCTTACTGAAAATGTCACCCCAGCTGGTGTGAAACTACTGGGGAGTCAACTGCCTCTTGCTAATTTAGATGCTTTCTGTATCCCAATCGTGCTTTCTAATATGGAAAGAAGAGACTTTTGGATCTCTGACAGGCCTCTGTTTTGTATATGGTTAAAAATAAGACTGCAATAAATTATTTTGTGGCTGCATTATAAAGTGAAGATGTTTCCTGAGCCTTTAGAAAGCTGTGATCAAACATTACAAAGACAACTGGTTTGTCAGCACCACAGAAGGAAAGGAGAGTGGCTCTGCAGTTTAAGTGGGCCCCTGGAGTTTGCATCAGGGCACTCCTGAGCTCCTTCTGTAATTTGATAAATGACTTACATGGCTCAGTTACCTCCAGGAACAGTCTGAGTAAATCTCTAAAGGAGAGCAGAATGTTGGAAGCAGGCAGACATCCATAGGTGGGAACTGCTGGTTTCTGAAAGGAAAAATGATGTCATCTTGCTGTGTTCAGTGAGGTGGCTCCAGGAGACTGATCTTCCCTGCATGGAAGCACCTGGGGTCTGGCAAAACGGCCTTCTTGGCCCAAATCTGGGGACACTGGCTGGAATAATCTCGCAGTGTTACCTGCATGGTCTCTGTTTAATCTTGTGGGGATCAAGGGATTGGGAGACAGTGAGAACTGTTGCAGAGAAATGGGGTATTTGAAGGTATTAAGAACAGGTAAAGATCTGAACAAAAGCAGTCAAAACTAAGGAATTATTTGTACCAGAAATTGTATTGTGCTACAGAGGTCTAGTACAGCAGTTCTCAACTGCTCTGTGCCTTAGAGAAAACAGTGCAGACCAGGAGAAATACAAAAATGTAACTCTGCACATTTGGGAATGTCATATCCTGGCTGAGATCTTTTTCCCAATGACACCAGCATGGTGAAAATCCATGGCCTAATGAGAACAAAGTCACAGGGTTGGTTATGAGATTGCTTGTTTAAAAACACCCCAAGCATAAAACTTTGCAAAATAGGATGAAACTTGGGCCCATGAGAGATTAACCTAATGGAAAGTCTGAATGTTGGAGTATTTTGCATGTTTATTACTCTTTAAAGGCCCTGCCAGTGAAGTGTGGAATTAGAGGCCAAACTCCAGGCTCGTGGATACAAGTTCTTATGCCTTCAAGGAACAATTGTAAGGTGGGAAAAAAATGGGCATAAGCTTTATTGCTTAAACATCTTTCCAGGATTTTTCAAACTATTGTCCTTGAAACATCTGTCAGAGCAACATTCAAAATCCTAATGATTGCACAAATCACTGTCCCCTGGGTGTGATCTAAGCTGCAGATGCTTTGTATTGTAAACAAAGATTTTGTTTCTTGCCCCGTGGCTCTAATTATCTGCTGTCATGCACAGTGGAGCAAAAGTGCTTTGGTGTAAAGCAGTGGTGCCATTTTAGACTGGCTTACATGAAGAAAAAAAATCCCAACTGTTCCTAGCTGTGTATCTTAGTTAGAGGTGAGATTTCTCTCCCACCTGAATGCCAGTGTGGCACTAAAGCCATACCCTGTAACCCCTCCTATTAAGGGATGCCCACAAAGCAAGAGAAAGTACATTACAGATTTTCATGTACAGTGGCAATCAGAATATGGATACAGGTCCCTTTTCAGCTTTATGATCTGCATCACTCTCTCTCTTGTGCCTGTGCAGGTTTAAACGAGCTTGGCATGAATGTGCTCTGGGCAACTTGTTGCCATGCCATCCCTAGCAGCTGTCTGCTCTGGAATTACCTGGCCTGGCCAAAGTGGGGTTTGTTAGGCTGTCACGATCTACACATCCTTTAACCTGCTCCTTTGCCGTTCCTCCAGCAGCTGCTCAGGGATCAGCGACCCTTGGCATTCTGGTGAGTGTCACTCAGCAGCATTTGGGATCTAATATGTGAGCCTCAGGAAAGCTCTGCAACGATACACCTGGAAGCTGGGCTGCAAGATGTTCTCCTGTGTAACACTCTGAAGTGGGCTTTGGTTTTCATTCCGGTTCATGACCTCTGGGCTGCCATCCCTTTGGAGAACAATAGGAAAACACAGCAAGTTTTCCTCCAGCCTTTGGGAGACCAAGTGTGGCACACTGAGGATCTGGGTGGAGGGAGCCGAGTGAGCACTGCTGCTCAAGTGGAACTGCAGCCCTGGAGTTCCAGGCTCTGCACAACAAACAGCTTTTCTCGCAGCCGTGTTCTGCCATACTGGGATAATTGCTTGGATGTAGTGCTGGCACACCAGGGTGTGCTCTGGGGCTGTATTTGTGCATGTGGAATGAGACCTGGAAAAGTTCAGTGGCAGGTAAAAAGAACAGAGCAGGAATTACAGTACAGTCCTCCCTGTGTCCTACCACAGTAGGCGGTTCTGGGCTTGCTCTGAGCCCTTTTTGCTGACAAACCCCACCCAGCCCCCTTCTGCTCCCTGTAATCTCTGTCTCTTCAGACCCCTGATCCTGTGTGTGCCTCTCTGTTTCCCAGGCTCCACTTGTGCTGCTGGCTGGATCTCAGTCTCTCTCCCAGCCTGTTCTGGTCTTTACAACTTTTTCCCTCCAGTACTTCCTCAGATGCTGCCAAAAGCCATGTGTGTAATCCCAGGTCCTTCTGGAGGATCCACAGCTTTAGCCAGGGCTGGGCAAAGCACAGCTTATTTTGCTGCCC